TATATATATATATATATATATATATATATATATATATATATATATATATATATATATATATATATATATATATATATATATATATATATATATATTCAACCTCGAGCATTTTGTGAAGAACTTGCTTATCAAACATTAATTCTAAATTGAGGTCTTAACCAAAGAACAAAAGCAGACTTGTGAGCCTCCGAGAGCCGTAGGGAAGGTAACCAGGCCCTCAAGGTGTTCCTAACGGCTGGTTACCTGAATTGGTACCAGGCCGAGAAGGACGGACCGTGGGAGGGAGAGGAGGGAGGGGGAGAGTGAGGGAGAGGAGGGAGGGGTGAGAGAGAGGGAGAGGAGGGAGGGGAGAGTGAGGGTGTGGTGGGAGGGGTGAGAGAGAGGGAGAGGCGGGAGGGGTGAGAGTGAGGGAGAGGAGGTGGTGAGAGTGGAGGGAGAGGAGGGAGGGAGGGTGAGAGTGAGGGAGTGAGAGTGAGTGAGAGTGAGGGAGAGGAGGGAGGGGTGAGAGTGAGGGAGAGGAGGGAGGGGTGAGAGTGAGGGAGTGAGAGTGAGGGAGTGAGAGAGAGGGAGAGGAGGGCGGAAAAGATCACTTGACGGCCGTGAGGTGTCACTTGGAGCAGCGGTCCAGGTAACGTTTGGCTCGGGGAAACATCTCAAACATTACGTTTCTTGTATACATACGGTATACATGGGTTACGTTCATGTATACATACGGTATACATGGGTTACGTTCTTGTATACATACGGTATACATGGGTTACGTTCTTGTATACATACGGTATACATGGGTTACGTTCTTGTATACATACGGTATACATGGGTTACGTTCTTGTATACATACGGTATACATGGGTTACGTTCTTGTATACATACGGTATACATGGGTTACGTTCTTGTATACATACGGTATACATGGGTTACGTTCTTGTATACATACGGTATACATGGGTTACGTTCTTGTATACATACGGTATACATGGGTTACGTTCTTGTATACATACCGTATTCATGGGTTACGTTCTTGTATACATACTGTATTCATGGGTTACGTTCTTGTATACATACGGTATTCATGGGTTACATTCTTGTATACTTACGGTATGCATGGGTTACGTTCTTGTATACATGGGTTACGTTCTTGTATACATACGGTATTCATGGGTTACATTCCTGTATACATACGATATACATGGGTTACGTTCTTGTATACATGGGTTACGTTCTTGTATACATACGTCATAACATCTCTTTCTCGTGTACTTCATATTAATTTTGATTTTTTCTATATTATTTAATGCCTCGTCCACAGGTGTGTTGTAGAGAGTGAAAACTTCCCTGCCTCATTGAGCTCAACACTATCATAACTTATCGTACAAGTATTTGAGCCTAATATGGGATGAAACCTTTAAAATTTCAAATCACAACATATACTCCATGATAAGACGTATATTCCTAAGATGAGGTCTGATAAAGACCTTTTGTGCCCTCTGTAATGCTTTTGCGCTATCGCTCACAGGATGAGTATGGGGTGCACAATAAACTAGCCGCCTTCGACGGCAACAACGTATATTCCTGCAGTTTGCTTTGGCGAACAGAACACAGCCACAAGTTTATGTGTAAACAGTTCTCCAAAATCCACAGACAGGAGTCTCGGGGCTGCTGGAGCAAGTCGATGCCGTAATTCCGGGTTGACACAAGTCTGGTGGCACTGGCTGTCGCAACAGTGCCATTGATGTTAGAGTTGGGATTTGTGTGGTGTTTGAGTATCTGTTATGTACGTACACCATGTTCTTGTCATGTTCCTTGAAGAAGGACATGTCAAGTCAACATGTCAACATGTCAAGGGACACTTGACATGTTTCCCAGAACCCTGTGTCTAGCGAGGTCACTTGAGCAGAGAGGGAGGGATGCCGGGGCACTGAACCTTTCCGGACTAGACCTGGGAAAAGTGGGTTACAGCCTCGAGTCTGCCCTTCTCCATTGTGGCGGGAACTGCCATTTGGCTGGAAAATGACTTGATCGAGGTTAGGCAACAGTACGACAACATGATTTTGCAACATGTCTTGGTAATTACTCTAGGTGCTATGTGTGTTTAGTGAGGGGGGAGGGGAGGAAGGTTCCAAGAGGCCCGAGGTCCTACAGTGTTGTGACAGCTCCACTACACACGGAAGGCTGCCTTCTCATTGCATCGCAATGTATAAATTACCAGACAATCACTGAGCCTCAGATCACGTTCAATTTGTATCTGTTATGTATGCAATCTGATCACCACCACTATCCATCACCACCACTATCCATCACCACCACTATCCATCACCATCACTACCCTCCACCACCACCACCACCACCAATACTCCTGCAATTCGGACTAATGTTACAGGTTGGGCTGGGCTGCCTTATGGTGTGTGTGTATGTGTGTGCGTGTGCGTGTGTGTGTGTGTGTGTGTGTGTGTGTGTGTGTGTGTGTGTGTGTGTGTGTGTGTGTGTGTGTGTGTGTGTGTGTGTGTGTGTGTGTGTGTGTGTGTGTGTGTGTGTGTACTGGCCTATTTGTGCCACAAGCATTGACTCTTGGATCCCGCCTTTCTAGCCATCGGTTGTTTACAATGACATCGGTTGTTTGCAATGACTCCGGTCCCATTTCCCTATCATACCTAGTTTTAAAATTATGAATAGAGTTTGCTTCCACAACCTGCTCCTTAAGTGCATTCCATTTTCCCACTACTCTCACGCTAAAAGAAAACTTTCTAACATCTATGTGACTCATCTGAGTTTCCAGATTCCACCCATGTCCCCTCGTTCTGTTACTATTACGTGTGAACATTTCATCTATTTCCACTTTGTCAATTCCCCCTGAGTATTTTATACGTTCCTATCATATCCCCCCTCTCCCTTTTTTCTAGTGTCGTAAGGTTCAGTTCCTTCAGCCGCTCTTCATATTCCATCCCTCGTAACTCTGGGACAAGCCTCGTCGCAAACTTCTGAACCTATTCCAGTTTCCTTATGTGTTTCTTCAGATGGGGACTCCATGATGGTGCGGCATACTCTAAGACTCACGTAGGCAGTGTAAAGTGCCCTAAAAGCCTCCTCACTTAGGTTTCTGAATGATGTTCTAACTTTTGCCAGTGTAGAGTACGCTGTTGTCGTTATCCTATATATATGTGCCTCAGGATTTAGATTAAGTGTTACGTCCACTCCCAGGTTTCTTTCTCGAATCATTACAGGTAGGCAGTTCCCCTTCATTGTGTACTGTCCCTTTGGTCTCCTATCACCTGATCCCATTACCATAACTTTACATTTACTCGTGTTGAACTCCAGTAGCCATTTCTCTGACCATCTCTGCTTCCTGTCCAGGTCCTCCTGGAGGATCCTACAATCCTCATCTGTCACAACTCTTCTCATTAGTTTTGCGTCATCCGCGAACATTGACATGTAGGATTTCACTCCTGTAAACATCATTTACGTAAATTAGAAATAGAATTGGCCCCAGCACCGATCCTTGAGGTACTCCACTCGTTACTGTTCGCCATTCCAACTTCTCGCCCCTTACCATTACTCTCTGGATCCTTCCTGTTAGGTAGTTCCTTACCTATGCTAGAGCCTTTCCACTTATTCCTGCCTGCCTCTCAAGTTAGAATAGCAGTCTCATGTGCGGTACTGTATCAAAGGCCTTTTGGCAGTCTAGAAATATGCAGTCTGCCCAGCCTTCTCTGTCCTGCCTTATCCTTGTTTTTTTATCATAGAATTCCAAAAGGTTTGTTAGGCATGATTTCTCTGTCCAGAACCCATGTTGGTGTTTGTTTACAAACCTAATGCTCTCCAGGTGTGCAACAAGTCTTAGCCTAATTATTCTTTCAAGTTTTTTGCAGGAGATGCTTGTCAGTGATACGGGTCTGTAGTTAAGTACTTCCTCCCTATCACCTTTCTTGAAAATCGGTACGACATTTGCCTTCTTCCAGCAAGGCAAGGCAATTCGGTACGACATTTAGGTTGCTTTTTCGCTTTGATTGCAATATCATTCTCATAGTTTCTTTCCGATACTCGTCTTATGTTTTCTTGCACTGCTTTTCCTCTAATTTATTCCTCCCACTGCACTTCTCCCAGGTAGTCCCTTATCTTTCTATAGTCCCCTTTACTGTAATCAACTCTCCTTTCCCGGACCTCTTGTCTTTTGTCAGTTCCATCATGTAGTCAGAGACTAGAACACAATGGTCACTAGCTCCTAGTGGTATTTCAAGTTCCAAATTCTCGATGTCTTCTACATTCTGGGTGAAGATCAGGTCTAATAGGCTGGGCGTGTCCCCTCCTCTTTCCCTTGTGTCGTCCTTCGCATGTTACGTTAGGAAATTCCTGTCTTTAACATCTACTAACTTCGCTCCCCACTTTTTCTCCCCGCCATGGGGATTCCTTGTTTCCCAATTTATCTCTCCATGATTTAGGTCCCCCATGACTAGCAATTTCTCTCTCATTCTATGCGCTATAGTTGCTGCCCTCTGCAGTTCATCTATACATGTCTTGTTGCTGTCATCATACTCCTGCCTGGGCCTTTTACTGTTTGGTGGGGGATTGTAGATTATCAAGATCACAATCTTCTTCCCATCCGCTGTCAGAGTTCCATGTATGGAGCTCGTGCTTTCATTGGTAACCCGATTTTCCAGGTCTTCAAACTTCCATTGGAAAGATTGCATCCGAGATCATGCCATTTATTTTAGTTTCCACTATTGCAACTATGTCTGGATCTGCCTCACTAACTCTTTCTTTTATCTCTTCTGCTTTATTGGATACCCCATCAGCATTGGTGTACCAAACCTTGAGACTCTTGTTGGAAACCGTGGTGCCAGAGTTCAGAGAGAGTGTGTGTGTGTGTGTGTGTGTGTGTGTGTGTGTGTGTGTGTGTGTGTGTGTGTGTGTGTGTGTGTGTGTGAGAGGCCACCACACAGTATGAGCGGCGTGGCACCACACAGTATGAGCGGCGGGGCACCATGCACGACAACAACTAATACAGTGTTGTGTTACAGAATTTACAAGCCGGACAGTCACTCTTCCCAGACGACTCCACCACCCCGGTACCTATCCTGGTGGACTCCCGCAGGTGAGTCCCTCTCTCTCTCTCTCTCTCCCTCCGTCCCTCCCGCAGGTGAGTCTCTCCCTCTCTCTCTCCCTCCCTCCCTCCCTCCCTCCCTCCCTCCCTCCCTCCTCCCCCCTCCCTCCCTCCCTCCCTCCCTCCCTCCCGCAGGTGAGTCCCTCACTCTCTCTCTCCCCCTCCGTCCCTCCCGCAGGTGAGTCCCTCTCTCTCTCTCTCCCTCCCTCCCTCCCTCCCTCCCTCCCTCCCTCCCTCCCGCAGGTGAGTCCCTCTCTCTCTCTCTCTCTCCCCCTCCCTCCCTCCCGCAGGTGAGTCTCTCCCTCTCTCCCTCCCTCCCTCCCTCACGCAGGTGAGTCTCTTCCTCCCTCAGCTAATGCATGACAGTATAAGTATTATAGATAATGCATGACAGTATTAGTGTCACAGCTAATGCATGACAGTATCAGTACCACAGCTAATGCATGACAGTATCAGTACCACAGATAATGCATGACAGTATCAGTACCACAGCTAATGCATGACAGTATCAGTACCACAGCTAATGCATGACAGTATCAGTACCACAGCTAATGCATGACAGTATCAGTACCACAGCTAATGCATGACAGTATCAGTACCACAGCTAATGCATGACAGTATCAGTACTATAGATAATGCATGACAGTATCAGTACCACAGCTAATGCATGACAGTATCAGTACCACAGCTAATGCATGACAGTATCAGTACCACAGCTAATGCATGACAGTATCAGTACCACAGATAATGCATGACAGTATCAGTACCACAGCTAATGCATGACAGTATCAGTACCACAGCTAATGCATGACAGTATCAGTACTATAGATAATGCATGACAGTATCAGTACCACAGCTAATGCATGACAGTATCAGTACCACAGCTAATGCATGACAGTATCAGTACTATAGATAATGCATGACAGTATCAATACCACTGCTAATGCATGCCAGTATCAGTATTACAGATAATGCATGACAGTATCAGTATTATAGATAATTCATGACAATATCAGTACTATAGATAATGCATGACAGTATCAGTACCACAGATAATGCATGACAGTATCAGTATTATAGATAATGCATGACAGTATCAGTACTATAGATAATGCATGACAGTATCAGTACCACAGCTAATGCATGACAGTATCAGTACCACAGCTAATGCATGACAGTATCAGTACTATAGATAATGCATGACAGTATCAGTACCACAGCTAATGCATGACAGTATCATTACTATATATAATGCATGACAGTATTAGTACCACAGCTAATGCATGACAGTATCATTACTATAGATAATGCATGACAGTATCAGTACTATAGATAATGCATGAGAGTATTATTACTATAGATAATGCATGACAGTATCAGTACTATAGATAATGCATGACAGTATCATTACTATAGATAATGCATGACAGTATCATTACTATAGATAATGCATGACAGTATCATTACTATAGATAATGCATGATAGTATCAGTACTATAGATAATGCATGACAGTAATAGTACCACAGCTAATGCATGACAGTATCATTACTATAGATAATGCATGACAGTATCACTACTATAGATAATGCATGACAGTATCAGTACTATAGATAATGCATGACAGTATCACTACTGTAGATAATGCATGACAGTATCAGTACTATAGATAATGCATGACAGTATCAGTGTCACAGATAATGCATGACAGTATCAGTATTATAGATAATGCATGACAGTATCAGTATTATAGATAATGCATGACAGTATCAGTATTATAGATAATGCATGACAGTATCAGCACCACAGCTAATGCATGACTGTATCAGTACCTTAACTAATGCATGACAGTATCAGTACCACAGTTAATGCATGACAGTATCAGTACCTTAACTAATGCATGACAGTATCAGTACCTCAGCTAATGCATGACAGTATCAGTACCTTAACTAATGCATGACAGTATCAGTACCACAGCTAATGTATGACAGTATCAGTACCTTAACTAATGCATGACAGTATCAGTACCACAGCTAATGTATGACAGTATCAGTACCTTAACTAATGCATGACAGTATCAGTACCTCAGCTAATGTATGACAGTATCAGTACCTTAACTAATGCATGACAGTATCAGTACCTTAACTAATGCATGACAGTATCAGTACCACAGTTAATGCATGACAGTATCAGTACCTTAACTAATGCATGACAGTATCAGTACCTTAACTAATGCATGACAGTATCAGTACCTTAATTAATGCATGACAGTATCAGTACCACAACTGATGCATGACAGTATCAGTACCACAGCTAATGCATGACAGTATCAGTACCTTAGCTAATGCATGACAGTATCAGTGCCACAACTAATGCATGACAGTATCAGTACCTTAGCTAATGCATGACAGTATCAGTGCCACAACTAATGCATGACAGTATCAGTACCTCATCTAATGTTAAGAGTACTGATACTGTCATGCATTAACAGTACTGAATATCAGTATCACAGCTAATGCACGAAACTTTTAATACTATATCAAGTGCATGAGAGCGTTATGGCCCCCCCCCTCCTCCACAGTTACAGCACCACTCCTGTGCCAGTAAGTCCACTACGGGCTCACCATAGCCCGTGCTACTTGCCCCGCTCCTGTGCCAGTAAGTCCACTACGGGCAGCCCGTGCTACTTGCCCCGCTCCTGTGCCAGTAAGTCCACTACGGGCTCACCATAGCCCGTGCTACTTGCCCCGCTCCTGTGCCAGTAAGTCCACTACGGGCTCACCATAGCCCGTGCTACTTGCAACATTTTGTTCCCAGCAGCTGAACCTAAAACAACAACATTATAGCTAGTTCCTGAGTTGTTGTTGTTATAGATTCAGCCAATGGGAACAAAAGTTCAGCCAATGGTGAACGTAGTGGAAAAGGTTCGGGGCAAGTAGCACGGGCTATGGTGAGCCCGTAGTGGACTCACCTGGCACAGGAGCGGGGCTGTAACTTTAGTTCCTGTGCGTGTAGATGACATATAGAGCCAGTTCCTGAGCGTGTAGATGGCATATAGAGCCAGTTCCTGAGCGTGTAGATGGCATATAGAGCCAGTTCCTGAGCGTGTAGATGACATATAGAGCCAGTTCCTGAGCGTGTAGATGACATATAGAGCCAGTTCCTGAGCGTGTAGATGACATATAGAGCCGGTTCCTGAGCGTGTAGATGACATATAGAGCCAGTTCCTGAGCGTGTAGATGACATATAGAGCCGGTTCCTGAGCGTGTAGATGACATATAGAGCCAGTTCCTGAGCGTGTAGATGACATATAGAGCCGGTTCCTGAGCGTGTAGATGACATATAGAGCCAGTTCCTGAGCGTGTAGATGACATATAGAGCCAGTTCCTGAGCGTGTAGATGACATATAGAGCCAGTTCCTGAGCGTGTAGATGACATATAGAGCCGGTTCCTGAGCGTGTAGATGACATATAGAGCCAGTTCCTGAGCGTATAGGTGACATATAGAGCCAGTTCCTGAGCGTGTAGATGACATATAGAGCCAGTTCCTGAGCGTGTAGATGGCATATAGAGCCAGTTCCTGTGCGTATAGGTGACATATAGAGCCAGTTCCTGAGCGTGTAGATGACATATAGAGCCAGTTCCTGTGCGTATAGATGACATATAGAGCCAGTTCCTGAGCGTGTAAATGACATATAGAGCTAGTTCCTGAGCGTGTAGATAACATATAGAGCCAGTTCCTGTGCGTATAGATGACATATAGAGCCAGTTCCTGAGCGTGTAGATGACATATAGAGCCAGTTCCTGAGCGTGTAGATAACATATAGAGCCAGTTCCTGTGCGTATAGATGACATATAGAGCCAGTTCCTGAGCGTGTAGATGACATATAGAGTGCAAGACTGTAAACAACAGAGCCTGATGGTGCTGGACGTACTGAGTGGTAAACTCTCCCGCAGGATCGACACGAAGACGGGAGCGTTTGTGTACGAGTACGCTGGCGCTGACGGCTCCTCCAAGTACGAGTTCCGCTACCCTAACGGCACCGTGATCGGCAACTACACCTTCATTAATGACCTCGGTGAGAAGGAGACCCGCGTCTACTCTGCCGGAGTGCGCGATCCCACTCTGATCGACGAGACCACCGACCCCAACTACGTCGATCTGGGCAACTACGACCTCTACAAGCATCTGGAGCGACCCTACGTCCACAACGACGGCACCTCTGCCATCGACGGCCAGGCGTTTGCCAGTTCGGTGTCTCAGGTGCCGCGGCCTCGTCCATCACAGTCCGCACAGCCACGTCGTCCTCCATCTCAACCCCAGCAACGACCCCAATTCCAACCTGCTCCACCCCAGCAACGACCCCCGTTCCACCCGCCCCAGCAGCCTGCGGTGCCGCTCGACTTCGGCGACGCGACCGACCACTTCTCCCAACCGCCCATCATCGCCCCAACATTCCAAGAGGCCAATGTAGCACCTCAGGCCCCAGCGCCCCTGCCACCCCCGGCCCCAGTGCTGCCTTCTCCGCCCCGTGGTCGCCCGGGTGGCAGGTCAGGAGGGCAGCAGCAGCCATCCCACCACCGCCTCGACCTATCTTCCAACCAGAATGTCGGGTCGTTCCTGGACTCGGTCATACAGCGGTTCCAGTAACGTGTCAAGGGCCTCGTCCTCCTGGTCCTCCTCCAGCAGTGATGGCTGCCGTGTCTGCGGCGTCAGGGCAAGACCCGCCGGGGACCTCCAAGACCAACATATGTTGTGCGCGGCGGCGCGTCCTGAACATTGTTTCCCAGACATTACCTCTCCGGCCTGACAATGTTGTAATTGTTGATGTTTGTTCCGTTCTAATATTGTTAATACTGCTACAGTTGTTTCCGTCCATGGACCAATAAACGTGTAGCCTCAGAGTGCCTCTCTCTCTAATCCTTCATAACACAATAAGAGAAGTTAGGGTCTTTAGTTACTTATAACATTGTTAGTAGGCCACTTGTGTTAGTTCAATACTACAAAACATGAGCTTTTTTGCTCCAACTGTGGATTTTTGTCCGTCTGACCAAACAGTGATATAAGTACTGTAATTATTAGAGGAAAGCCTGAAAACTTTTAGGTAATTAAGGGAATAGAGAAAATAATTTATTATTCTTCCTTTTTGCGTTTCTCTTCTCTTCTTTCTGTGTTTACCTTTCCTCTCTTCTCGTTAGTAGCGGCCATTCTCGTTAGTAGCGGCCATTCTCGTTAGTAGCGGCCATTCTCGTTAGTAGCGGCCATTCTCGTTAGTAGCGGCCATCACCTCTATTTTCACAAGGGCTTCCTATCCGGGACCAGGACTTGGCGATATTCTTAATAATCCATATTCCTGCTCCAGGATAACAAATAATTAGGATGACGTCGGTTATATACAGCGAGATTGGAAATCAGTGTAATTTGCTGTTTCGTGAAAACAAGGGATATGGGGCTCAACCCTCCCAGGCTGCCTATGGCTATTCCCAGACAGCGACCAGTCACCCTGCAAAGTTTGGTGTGGCTGGCCCCGCGCATCTGGCCCCTACCACACACACACATATATTCTCTTTTATAGATATAGACAATAATAATAATATTATTATCATCCGCTACTATAATATACATTCAAGAGGCATTTTTGTTGGAATTATCAGAAATATAATCCAGGGTGTAGAGTGGGTAGGGGTGGGTGGGGGGGGGGATGAACTAAGGGTGGAGAGTATTTGGCATGAAGGTGGAGGAGCGGGTGGTGAGGGTGGTAATTGGGTGAGGGTGAAGGGTGAGCGGGGGAGGAGTTGGCACCACAGGGAGCTAAGAGTTGGCACGGAAGGTGGGGCGGGGCGGAGTTCCCACAGTCGGTGTGTTGGAGAGGTGGTGCAGTGCTGCTCTTGGTGCAGTGCCATTCCTGGTGCAGTGCCGCCCCTGGTGCAGTGCCGCCCCTGGTGCAGTGCCGCCCCTGGTGCAGTGCCGCCCCTGGTGCAGTGCCGCCCCCTGGTGCAGTGCCTCCATTGTTTGAGTGCGTACCTATCTGCAGCGTCGTCAGGGTGAAAGCATCAGCAGTTGTCATAAAGCCGTTGGAGAGCCGCCTCGTGACCCCAGTAGTGACCTCAAGGGCCAGGGTGTGACCCCCAGGTGACGTGACCCTATCTGGCGGGCGCCGGCTGCCACATTCTTCCACACCTGACATTCTCAGCCACACTTGCCACAATCTTCAAACTCACCAACTGGGTCATAGCTCCGCCGTGAGGTCAAGGGGCAAAACACAAACTAGAAGGTGGGCAGAGTCACCGGAAGTCACCAGGGGGGTCAGGGCAGCAAGGGGTCAGACGAGCGAGGGCGTGACCCCAGGATGATGGTGTGGTAGTGGTGGTGGTGGTGGAGAGTGACCTCGTCCGACTCCTGCAAGGATCCTCTAGTCTTCAGTCGCCACAGTAAGTGTATACATCTGTATACATTCTACTAAATGTATTCCGCCCGTGTACATCCCCCTCCCCCCCCCCGGGGGGATTAAACAAGTGTAAACACCGCCAGTTTACTGCACGTGTACGTGTGTGTACTTCCCTAGTGTCCTTTATGAGTTTACATTTAGCTACTCAGAACGAAATGTCCATGTAGCACGGGCTATGGCGAGCCCCGTAAATTTCACTACTATACATCCATATCTATATAAGAGAATGTGTCTATTCGAGGTAGGAGGCCAGGCGGCCAACGCACAACTTTGCAGGGTGACTGGTCTTTGGCCGGGGATGGCCAATAGCGGGTTGGGGGTCGACCCCTAAGTGCCACCCCCCATTGTACGTAATGAAAAATGATACCACTTTCCAAGCACGCTAAATACCAGGGTCTTCCCTCACTAACATTTAGCATGTTAAATTCTACGTGTTGATTAAATGTTAGTTTGTTTTACGTAGTTTATTTATTGATGAAGACAGTGTTTAGTGAAGATGGTTACAGTTCAGGTACGTTTATTGAGACAGTATGATACATCTCAAAAGGATAGAGTAACTTAAGTTACTCTGACTTAAGTTACTAGAATAACTTAAGTTACTCTATATCAGGCTATTTTTACCCTCCTCCTCATGGTTACAGTAATGAAAGTAAGTTGTAAATGGTAGGGTAAATGGTAGGGTAAATGGTAGGGTAAATGGTAGGGTAAATGGTAGGGTAAATGGTAGGGTAAATGCTTCCTTCATGACCCAGCAGAAAAAAGAGTAATAATTATTAATTAATTATATTGTTATTATAATAATAATATAATTAATTATTACAATAGTAATAATTATCAATTAATGATATTATTATTATAATAATTATAATAATAATTGTTGTAATTAATAATTATCACTCTTCCTTCTGCTGGGTCATGAAGGAAGTCGGCCTCGGGTGAAAGAGGGCTGTGATGCTCACTTGAACCCGTAGGTGCGGGGCCGGGTCGTCCACCTCCTGGGGCTCGTGCGGCCCCCCCAGGCTCTGCTTCAGGAGGCTGGGGCCCTCCATACCCTTGCTGGGGTGGTTCTTCTCCGGCCCCGACCACGGCGGTCTCCGGGTTGGGAGTCACTGTGTCTTCCTTTACCAACTTCGAGGTCAACTCCGGAGCTGGAGCCCCTGGGGGCAGTTCGTTGTTGCCTTCAACCTCGATCTGACAGTTCCTGCGACGGCGCTGGAACCAATCGTATTGGCGCTTGCCTTTCCATTGGAAAATTTCGGTGCCGTGGAGAGGGTGGACCTGCTGCATGGGTGACAGCTTCTCCCCCCGTATCAACCTACCCTGCCTTTGCGCCCTGGAGAGCAAAGACCGACAAACAGAGCGCAACTCCACAGTCTCCTGATGGATGCCTACACATGCAAATGGTTCGGAGGTGGAGAAGGGTAGGTGGGGAAGGTGAAGGAGGGTAAAGTATGGGACGAGCGGCCTCGAGGGGAACACGGTGGCTGCTGTCGGTGAACCTTACCTTAAGGTTATCTTGACATGATTTCGGGGCTTAGCGTCCCCGCGGCCCGGTCGTCGACCAGACCTCCTCGTTGCTGGACTGGTCAACTAGGCTCTTGGACGCTGCTGCTCGCAGCTTGACGTAGGAGTCATAGCCTGGTTGATCAGGTATCCTTTGGAGGTGTTTATCCTGTTCTCTCTTGAACACTGTGAGGGGTCGGCCAGTTATGCCCCTTATGTGTAGTGGAAGCGTGTTGAACAGTCTCGGGCCTCTGATGTTGATAGTTCTCTCTTGAACACTGTGAGGGGTCGGCCAGTTATGTCCCTTATGTGTAGTGGAAGCGTGTTGAACAGTCTCGGGCCTCTGATGTTGATAGTTCTCTCTTGAACACTGTGAGGGGTCGGCCAGTTATGTCCCTTATGTGTAGTGGAAGCGTGTTGAACAGTCTCGGGCCTCTGATGTTGATAGAGTTCTCTCTCAGAGTACCTGTTGCACCTCTGCTTTTCAACGGGGATATTCTGCACATCCTGCCATGCCTCCTGGTCTCATGTGATGTTATTTCTGTGTGCAGGTTTGGGACCAGACCCTCTACTATTTTCCACGTAAATTATTATGTATCTCTCCCGCCTGCGCTCAAGAGAATACAAATTTAGGCTCTTTAGTCGGTCCCAATAGTTTAGATGTTTTACTGAGTGGATTCTAGCAGTAAAGGATCTCTGCACGCTCTCCAGGTCAGCAATTTCTCCAGCTTTGAAAGGGGCTGTCATTGTGCAGCAGTACTCCACTCTAGAGAGCACTAGCGTCTTGAAGAGTATCATCATCGGTGTAGCATCTCTGGTGTGAAAGGTTCTTGTTATCCAACCTGTCACATTTTTCTTGTAGTTGTGACGGCTACTTTATTGTGTTCTTTAAATGTAAGGTTTTCCGACGTTATTTATTTGATTGTTGCCGCCGAAGGCATCTATTTTATTGTGCACCCCATACTCATCATGTGAGCGGTAGCGCAAAAACTATTACCGAGGGCACAAAAGGTCTTTATCAGACCTCATCTTAAATGGTAATTACATTAACAATTATATCTATCCTTCACACCTTATAATCACAATGTCAGCAAGTTACAGAGAATGTTCTATTTCGAGAGCTATATATTTACAGAAAGTCATTATACAATAATGGCAGGTCTTATCGCTAATACATAATTGTTTGAGCAATGGAGATGTTACAGAGTCACAGGGTAGCCTGTACGTGCTCCTATGACGGAATCTTCACTCACAGGATGCGTAATTCTACCCAAAAAAACAAGCCCTTCGGGGGCAAAATTTAATTTAAACCCACTCCGTGTGGCTGCCACCGTTGCCAGAGAAAAGTGGCATCCTTGTCTCAGTGGTGGAACCAAAGGGGCAGCACCTCGGCCCCCTGACAAAGTGGAGACGCGTGTTTACACAAGGTAAACATGTAATAAGGGGAGGCAGCACCCCTGGTGACACCTGTCAATAACAGTCACGGCCCAGGGTGTCACGCCCCGTCACTGTTATGACCCCAGGGTGTCACGCCCCGTCACTGTTATGACCCCAGGGTGTCACGCCCCGTCACTGTTATGACCCCAGGGTGTCACGCCCCGTCACTGTCATGACCCCAGGGTGTCACGCCCCGTCACTATCATGACCCCAGGGTGTCACGCCCCGTCACTGTTATGACCCCAGGGTGTCACTCCCCGTCACTGTCATGACCCCAGGGTGTCACGCCCCGTCACTGTCATGACCCCAGGGTGTCACGCCCCGTCACTGTTATGACCCCAGGGTGTCACGCCCCGTTACGCCAGACCTCAAACAAGGTCAAATGTGTCTTTAAGTACACAAAGAAGTCACGATAACGTGATATCTTCGAGCAACTGCACCACCCTCACCAGAGTGTTTGGTGGAGAATAATACGTATTTATATATGTGAACAAACTTTTTAAATATTAATAATATTAATATTCGTTAAAATTGACGAACGCGTCTGGAAGTTGGGATAGCGGGCGCTGCTTTAACGAACCTGGCATCACAACACGTTGTAAATACTTGCCAACAGAACCTAACCACCTAATCTAACCTACGCCTCAATATGTATAATATGGTAATATATAATAATATTAATTTCTATTTGATTAAATTACTATTTTGAGTGAATGGCATGTCGAGGAATGGGGTCGGCCGTTGGATGGAATGAACTTAGCCTGAAGAAGAAGGGTTGCTGTAAATGCTTGAACCACGTACTTTAAATACAAATAACTGCCAGTAGAAGCTAAGGACCTAACGTAACCTACGTCAAACTATACACTGAACTCTAATACACATTAATATGAATTTATATACGAGAATAAACCCATTTTAATACACAATACATTCAAATTCATAAATGCATCTTGGGGTCGGCTGCCGTTTGAACGAGCCTAGCCTAAGGACATGCTAGGTGTTATAGACATCCAGGAATGCACACCTACACACCGCACAGTCAATTCACAACTCTTCACACAACTCTAGCGCGCTATACAACTCTCCACAGATCAGCATCAGTCCATAATCCTTCACAACTCTCCACAACCCCACACAAGCGCAACTCTCCAATAAGCTACACAACCTTTCACAACTAACTTAGAGTTGTAGAACCCTTCACACACCTCTCCGGAGCGGTTTACAACCCCACTAACCCTCCCTGTTCTTCACAACTCTTCACAACCTTCACATCACGATGAAGAGGGCACTAGATCCCATGTGTGGGGCGGGTGGCGGGGTGTATATATAGATGGGTCGCTCTCTCCTTGTTTCTCCTGTCTCCCTGCATCCTTCCCTGTGTCCGCCCACCCACCCGCTGTGTCCGCCCACCTCCCACCCACCCGCTGTGTCCGCCCACCACCCACCCACCCGCTGTGTCCGCCCACCCACCCGCTGTGTCCGCCCACCACCCACCCACCCGCTGTGTCCGCCCACCCACCCGCTGTGTCCGCCCACCTCCCACCCACCCGCTGTGTCCGCCCACCACCCACCCACCCGCTGTGTCCGCCCACCCACCCGCTGTGTCCGCCCACCCACCCGCTGTGTCCGCCCACCCACCCGCTGTGTCCGCCCACCTCCCACCCACCCACCCGCTGTGTCCGCCCACCTCCCACCCACCCACCCGCTGTGTCCGCCCACCCACCCACCCGCTGTGTCTGCCCACCACCCACCCACCCGCTGTGTCCGGCCACCCACCCGCTGTGTCCCACCTCCCACCCACCCACCCGCTGTGTCCGCCCACCATACACCCACCCACTGTGTGGTCGGCGTCACCATAAGTACTTACCATGAGGTTAGAGAAATAAACCAGAACATTTACGGAATAAACCAGGGTGGACAACCCTTGGCACTCGTGCCGAACTTGGCACGCAAAGTACTATTTTTTCTGGCACGCGAAACCCAAGAATCACCTTAAAAAAATAATTCAACAAATAAATATCCAACTTCTTCGTCGAGTTGTATATATATTTTAACTTAAAATACAATATTATTAAGTAGAGCGATAAGAAACTTATCGTAACACTAAGATATAACTCCAAGCAAGAAACAAACACTTAAGAAGTGCTTGAGTAATGATAAGTGATAAGAAAATGAAACAAGAAGGCTTATATTGTAGTAGCTAGGCTTATAATCTTAATTGTGGTTGCTAGGCTTATACTCTTAATTGTAGTTGCTAGGCTTATACTCTTAATTGTGGTTGCTAGGCTTATACTCTTAATTGTAGTTGCTAGGCTTATACTCTTAATTGTGGTTACTAGGTTAATACTCTTAATTGTAGTTACTAGGTTAATACTCTTAATTGTAGTTGCTAGGCTTATACTCTTAATTGTGGTTACTAGGTTAATACTCTTAATTGTAGTTACTAGGTTAATACTCTTAATTGTAGTTGCTAGGCTTATACTCTTAATTGTAACGAGAATAAGAATTAGTAAAACGCGTGTCTAATTTTCTTTCCTATTTTTGTACTTTAGCCAAGTAAAACAATGATGAAATTGGGTACAGTAATGTATTAAGAAACATTATGGCTAATTGATCTCATGTAAAAGAATCAGAATTATTGTTTACTCTTTCGCTGATGTTAAAAATTGCTACTTTAAATTATGTGGTTTTATATGGCAGTGAGAATTACACTTAAAGGCTGACCAAAAATATCCACGCTATCAACAGGGTTGAATGACCGTTAAGTAAAAAATCCGTCACTAGATTTTGCATTCATTCAATCTTACATTAAATGACTTAAAATAATCACTCTTAGAATATTCTTTGATTTTTCAGCTGTAATATGATCATTTGAAAGGTTCTCACATTACTTAAAAGACACATAAAAATAATAATAATAATAATAATAATAATAATAATAATAATAATAATAATAATAATGTCCCCAAAAATTTCGGTTGGCAGGCGGGAATTTGGCGATTTTGGCGAGCACAGTTTAAAGGTTGTCCAGGCCTGGCCTAGGCTGTGTGAGCCTACTGACCCACCGGCGGCCTAGTCAAGCCCACTGGCCTAGTACCACCTCCCAAACTCTGTTACGCTGCACTCTTTATTTTACCCGTTGAAATACATACAAGAAAGATAATGCAGGAGGGACCTTTGACAAGCCGCCGGCCTTTTGTTTTCTAAGCCACCAGAGATGGTGCCCCTCAGGTAAATTCAAATCAATTCAGAATGTCAGTTGATTGAGAAAACGATAAAGCAATTAAATTATCGTCCACACTTCCGTGGAAAAATACATTCCATTCAGCTGGGGTCAACCTGCTCTCGCACAAGACAGTACATATATCACGTATTGCTTATAGTCAATATTTGGCATATTAATAAGTACATATATGGTATATTCCAAGTTATATTTTGTTTTTCCAGGTAGAAACTCTTCATACTGACTCACTATACACCAGTTTTAATATTTGATTTTTTTCAGTTTTATTAAAAATAGAGATTTTATACAAAATTTTGACAATATCCTGAGTTACTTTACAATTTATTTAAATATTTTAGTTTTGTTTTATTATTTTTATAAAACTGTAATATCAATATAGGTATACGTTAAGTACTAATTGTAATTAAGAAGCAATAAGATGCTTATCTTAACATACTAAGAAGGTTAGGTTAGGTTAGGTCGGTGTTTTCTATTCAGCTTTTCAAGGAAAACTCAAATATTCACAATAAATTAGTATGTCACATATGCACTTATTAATAAGCCAAATATTGACTATAAGCCAGTGCGAGAACGGGTTGCTGGGGTCTAGGGGACTCGAACTGGGGACTCAATAGCTCGATCGATAGAGCTTCGGCCTCACACGCGCGTGGGGCCCGAGGTTCGAGTCTCCTAGAGTGAATGGAATAAGGTAATTGGTTAATGCCGCGGAGAGCAGCACTACTGAGGGCGTGGTCCAGTCTGGGTGACGTGACGGCGGGGCGGCGACCTTGTACACTGTGGCTCCCTAAATAACGGAACCATCTTTCCCCCAATTGAAATTGAAATAAGTTTATTGAGGTAAAATACACACAAAGGGATGAGGTAACTCAAGCTATTCTCACCCCGTTCAGCACAACGTGTTAATACATACATAGACACACATCACAAACAATAAATATATTACCGAACATTCTGAGAGATAAACGTATACATTTATTTCCTCCTTTACACAAGTAATGCTGGCAATTGTTCACTCAAGGTCAGCGGTCACCTATTGTACTGACCACCTCATATGCCAGACAAGCCTCGCCTATCATATGATCTTCAAATTTAATACTACTGTATGCTCAATTTTATCCTCGTTATTTAATGCGTATATATGGAATATGTTTTATTATTATTATTATTATTATTATTATTATTATTATATGTTCAAGAATCATTACTTAGTACGAAAAACTTATTTTATTTCACATATTCTCGTCTAAAGTCAGATTAATTTCAATAAGCGGCTGTTTATACTTGGGATTGTTTAAAATATACCCACCCGAAGCCTGTTGGCAAGTGTTTAACCTTGATGAAGAAGCCATGAGTTGTAAATCCACCAGCCAATTATAGAACCCCCCCCCCCCACACACACACACAGCCGGCGGCCGAGCGGACAGCACGCTGGGCACGTGATCCTGTGGTCCCGGGTTCGATCCCGGGCGACGGTGAGAAACAATGGGCAGAGTTTCTTTCACTCTATGCCCCTGTTACCTAGCAGTAAATAGGTATCTGGGAGTTAGTCAGCAGTCACGGGCTGCTTCCTGGGGTGTGTGTGTGTGGTGTGGGGGAAAGTAGTTAGTGACAGTTGAGAGGCGGGCCGAAAGAGCAGAGCTCAACCCCCGCACGCACAACTAGGTGAACACATTGGGACACTCACAAGTCCCACGGGTTCTCCGTTAGTACATGACCGTCACCAGCAAAATGCTTTGAGAATAGTTAAAGAGAGCTTGTTAGGACCGAGGGATGGAAGCAGCAAAGTGAAGCATGTGTGCGAATTCAGAGACAGATTAGCTAGATGACTCGTGAACAAGTAGTGGAGAATATAAAGTCTGGACCATCAAGGAGAACAAGCAAGATAGGCTACGAGAGTTCCGGCCACTGATGAGGTGCTACTTATAAGTTTTTTTCGCCTCTGGCTGAAAGGGAAAGTTGATCGTGCTCGCTTGTGTGTGGTGTTTGTAGTATAGGCGTTACCGACAGAGAGACATGATCTGGTTCCTGACTCAGATGAAAACCGAAGGAGGCAGGAGAAAAACGAGAGAAATATGGCTTGCGTGTTAACAGCGCCACTATAAATCTGGCTCTAATTTCTGACATTCTCTGTGCAGCAGTATTCAGTTAACCTTCGCAGTCTCCTCCTCACCTCTGCCTTTCTCTTCGTATTCCAATTGTCTCTCCCTATACGTGGTGGTGGTGGTGGTGGTGCCAGACACACCCACATCCTTGACCAGTACCTGCCCCTCCGCCACCCTGGCGCGCCACCAGGGTGTCTCACAGCGCCCTGTTGGACCACAGTCACGGAGGTGTTATAAAGGCTCTTATTTCCTTCAGGCGGCACGGGAGACATCTCCCGTCACGCAGGGTGCAGTCGCACCTCCACAGATCTCCAGTATCAGCTCTTGTTACTGGTAATGGCTCAAAAGGGCCACCACTTACGGGCTATTCATGCCCGTGCCACCTTTTGGGTGGCTTAATCTTCATCAATCAATCTTCAGGCCGTGAGTGTGGCTCCCATCTGCCCGTCCTCACCACACACAAATTACATTGATCAATTGTGCCCAGTTCAATCACCTGTTATTGCTACTATTACTATCACTATTATCATATTATAATTAAACTATTTTATTAGGATATATACAAAAATTTAAAGTGTTTATTTCGTAAAGAGGAGATAAGACAGTTTTCTTTTTGTGCTTCATAATATGCGGGTTCCAGGCCGGTGCTGCATATTCTAATATTTATATTATGTTAGCAGTTTAGGTTTTAAAATGTCGTACAAATGTTTGCTAGTTCCCACATGCAGCTGATGTTACCCTGTTTGTGTGTGCCTCAGATAACGTTGGAATTATATCCATTCCCATGTCTTTTTCTCTTTGTGATCCCAGTTGTTGCTTCCCTCTTGAGCCAACAGAAGGTATCTTCGCTATTTCTTCCTTCTTCATCTTCGTTACTTTACACTTGTTTGGGTTTAATTCTAACAGTCACATGTCTGCCCACTGATGGAGTTAAATAAGGTTTCAATATAATTATCTGAAATTATCATCGGTTATTATATTCCTCATTGTGTGAAAAGAAAACGAGTGACGCTGCCCACTGAACGCGCCTTTCGGGGCAAAATTGAAATGTAAACAAATTGATGTCACTCCCTCGGGTGGGAAGGTCATGCACTTGGATTAGGAAGACCAATGGTCGTAGGACCAAAGTTTTGGGATCACACACTTGTCCCAACCCTCCAGTCCCACACCTCCTCAGAGAGGTGTGGGAGAGAACCGAGACCCTTTGTTTTTTGTCCATCAGGTTCTCCATCACCCAGTTTAGTGTTTTTCCAGCTTCTTCCCCATCCCTTCTTCCCTTCCTCTCCATCCCTTCTTCCCTTCCTCCCCACCCTGCCCTTCCCTTCACCCCAACACAAGGTGAGGTAAGCCTCCACAATCACTGCTCTAACAAAGTGTCTTATAGTTTCAGGACGATAATGCCGCAGAGACCTCGTCGAAGACAAGTCAGTATGGTGTGTGGTGTGTACCTGTGTACTGTGGTGTGTAGTGTGTGGTGTGGTGTGTAGTGTGTGGTGTGGACCTGTGTAGTGTGGTGTGTAGTCTATCTGTGATAGACTCTGTGGTATGTAAATGTCTACATTTCTTCTTTAGTTGCAAGTTTTGCAGCTTCGTCTGCAATGTCATTTCCTATTATTCCCACATGACTTGGCATGGACCTGTGTAGTGTGGTGTGTAGTGTGTGGTGTACCTGTGTAGTGTGGTGTGTAGTCCACCTGTGTACTGTGGTGTGTAGTGGACCTGTGTACTGTGGTGTGTAGTGTGGTGTGTAGTGTGTGGTGTGGTGTGTAATGTGTGGTGTGGTGTGTAGTGTGTGGTGTGTAGTGTGTGGTGTGTAGTGTGGTGTGTAGTGTGTGCTGTGTAGTGTGGTGTGTAGTGTGTGGTGTGTAGTGGACCTGTGTAGTGTGTGGTGTGTAGTGGACCTGTGTAGTGTGGTGTGTAGTGGACCTGTGTACTGTGGTGTGTAGTGTGTGGTTAACCTGTGTAGTGTGGTGTGTAGTGGACCTGTGTAGTGTGGTGGACCTGTATAGATGATGTATAGTGCGTCTGGTAGACCTGCACAGGTGCAAAATCTGCCCACTATACACACACCTGTGTATAGTGTGTGTGATAGACCTGTACTGGTGGTGTAGTGTGTATGGTACAATGTATTCTACATAGAAGTACAGTGTATAACAACAATAACAATATTATGTATGGATATACATAGTGATAATGAGTAGTTATATATATACAAGGATGAGTGCATGACATTAATATGTGACATACTCTCTAATCGCTGCCCTCTACCGTGTTATATAGGCCGCTGCCATCTACTGTGTTGTTTCCTGGGCATATCCAAACATTTAACACTACGCCCTTAAGTGTGTGCCTGCCCTCTCAACCAATTGGCCGCATTTCTTTACGTTGTCGCAACAACATTACAAATGTAACCTATTAAGAACAGTAACTGCTCATAAATATTCACGTTTTCTATGGACCAGACTCGACAGTCCGAACACTCAGGTCTGATAGGAAAGAAATTACTGACTCCCAACGACCTGACAGCACTAGTATCAAAAGCTATGATTTGTTCAGCTCTGAAGCCTATGTTTATGGGCAGCACAAAACGTGGACCAGACTGTGCGACACAGTGGTTGCCAGGATCAGGTTGGGTTACCGTTACCTGTGGCAGGTGGCTGCAGGTGACGGATCTCCCAATCCTGAGCACTCCAGGTGCAAACTCTGTGAGCAGGAACTGCGGCATGATCTCCCACACTACATTACCGAATGCCCAGTTATTAGACTTTTCAGACCAGTTGGCATGAGGTACCTGGAGCTTTACAATTACTTTATTCACTCTCGTATTCTTGAAGATATCCTCAGTGTACCCTAAATTTGCCAGTGCAGGCTACTGAACATATGGCCCTGTATGACTAACCATCCTGCGAGATGGGGACTTTTAGTATCACTGCTGCCTTATTCAATCTTGTGTTGATGATATCCTCATAATGAACCTAGAGTCTGTCAGTGCAGACTACTGATCATATGCCTCTGTTTGACTAACCATCCTGTGTGATGGGGATTTTTTAGCATCACGGAGCTAACTTTTTGACACACACTGTACTCCCCTTCATATAGCCTAGGGCAGCTGCACAAATGCAGATGTACCTAATATATTAATAAAAAAAAGTTATGCTCAAAGATCGGTAACGTAACAAAACCTGGTGAACCGGATGACTTACTATATCTTACCCACAATGCACTAGACGTTAATGAACAACAGATAATAATAATAATAATAAATATATATTATATATATAAAGATTTTAAGTCCGCCAGCAGTTGTGCCTCTGAAATAGTTTCTCACATTCTCAAAAAGCAGTTCAAGGTAGACGCCTGAGGAACTGAACAAGGACTCCAGTATAAACATCTCAAACTCCTAAAATATATTTACATTTTAAATTAGAATTTTGAGAACTTATGTTCTCAGCTTACGTAAATACTTATCAGCACCTCTTTTTGATCTAAGACGCTGGGAGACATGTTTAACATTATAAGGGAAAAACGTGGTTCAATTGCATTATTAAAAGGTGACAACTTGATTAATCTGAATGTGATCCATGCTTCAGCGAGTGAGTAAGGAATTAAATATGAATGGCTAAGTAAATAATTAAGTTTCTGGTGAGCGAGTAAGCGATTAAGAGTGACTAAGCTAGTGAGTAAGAGATTAAGAGAGTGACTAAGCTAGTGAGTAAGCGAGTGAGTGACTAAGCTAGTGAGTAAGAGATTAAGAGAGTGACTAAGCTAGTGAGTAAGCGAGTGAGTGACTAAGCTAGTGAGTAAGAGATTAAGAGAGTGACTAAGCTAGTGAGTAAGCGAGTGAGTGACTAAGCTAGTGAGTAAGAGATTAAGAGAGTGACTAAGCTAGTGAGTAAGCGAGTGAGTGACTAAGCTAGTGAGTAAGAGATTCAGAGAGTGACTAAGCTAGTGAGTAAGCGAGTGAGAGTGACTAAGCTAGTGAGTAAGAGATTAAGAGAGTGACTAAGCTAGTGAGTAAGCGAGTGAGAGAGTGAGAGTGTGAAAGAGTGAGAGTGTGAGAGAGTGAGAGTGACTAAACTAGTGTGAGTGAGAGTGAGGGCCAGCATGGGGGAGGGGGGGCACCTCCCACAGAGAGAGTGACTGGTCTAGCCGCTCTACACATAACAGTAACAAGGGGGGACGGATGTCTGCAAGTTATCGTACATCATTACCTCTCGCTCCACCTGCTCTTTCGTGATAGCAATATTGCAAGACAACATGGAGGTGCAGGAGGCAAGGTACACCACGGGGGGGCAGGAGGCAGGAAACACCATGGAGGTGCAAGAGGAGAACACAAGTGTGATCCTAGGGAACACTTCCATATTAAATGTCAGAGTCACAGCCTTGAAGATTTCTGTCGCCCGCGGGTAAATTGTCGTTTACTCCCGGCACTTACCTCATATGACCATAATGACTAAAGCCTCAGATTACGGGCTATTCATGCCCGTGCCACCTCCTGGTTGGCTTAATCTTTATCAATCAAATCCTCAGAGAACACCTCAGAGTCTCCAATAGTTAAGTGGAGGTAATCAGTGAGGGCGGGTGTGGCAGGCGGTGAGAAATGACGTTCCGTGTCAACTGTCAATCTTGTATGCAAGTTCCGTCAGTCGGTTGTCATCCATGCCAGCTCTGTTATCCCTCCCCCTCATCCTGTGACGTCATCTGACCACGTCACTGGCCTCAGCTGTTCGCCAACGTGAACAGATTTAAGAGTTTGTGTTATCAGCAATGCCATCGGGGACGACTTTAGGTCAATATGTGGTTATTTACATATATCTTTACACACCTACATGTGCTTGCAGGACGAGCAGTCGACCTTGCCGTTCTGTCACCAGCCGCGTATTGAAATTGAGAATATAATTAACCTTAATAACCCCAGGATTCAACAAGCAGTTACACAAGTACTTACGAACCTGTGCATCTTTTCTCACTCTTCGGCGAATTTATCTACATTTATCGAATTTATACATTTATCAAATATATTCAATAGTTTACCAGCATCCAAACTTCCCAGTAACATGTTGTTATTGTTATGAACAGCTCCTGGGAGCGTCTGAGCTCATAAACAGTTTAATATATGTAAACAAAGCCGCCAAAGTTTGAGAAAAATGTGCAGGTTCGTCGTACTTGTGTAACTGCTTGATGACTCCGCTCCTGGCAACATACGAACCCAACCAACCCACCTAACCTGTCCAGTCTGGTGTATAGAGATCGTCAAATTTATGAGCAATTACTTTCCTTATTAAATTACAGTTGTAACGTTGCTGCGGCAACGTACAAAATATGGCCTATTAGTTGAGAGGGCAGGTACACACAACTAAGACAGTAATGTTAAATGTTTGGATATGCTCAGGAAACATTCAGTGTGGCAGACTTCCACATTAGGCTGCACACTGGATGAAATACTTGGATATAAAGTTAATCGCGAAGCCCGGAAAGGTGAAACGCCAAGCCTAATCTCGAAACGAGTGACGCCAGTCACTGGAAACTAATATGCCTCGCGGCAAAGAAACACAGACAGGCAGATGATTGGGGAGCCCCAGGAGTGCCTCAGGGTGACCAGCACCGGCCCCGCCCCCCACAGAGGACACCGGGTAGCAAAACCAAAAACTCGAACCCCGCAACTAAAATGTAAAAGTCATCCAGTGCCCTTCGGCAGAGCAGAAGCCAGCCACCCACCACGGCTGAGGGCACACCAGGAGCCTACCACGACCCACCAACCCCCGGCACCTCTCGGCCAAGCCGGCGCCGGACACCGTCACCCCGTCGGGAGAACCAGCCAGGACACGTCAAACAAACAAAAATCTATCAACAATCCCGTGACCCAAGGCGACACGTGCGCCAGGCGTCGTACAACCGGACCGTCGAATAGGGATGCCTAACGGCAGTAGCAAATCCAAATCGTAAAACAAAACGTGATCCAGCGGCTCCCAGGCGGAGGAGGCGTCCAGACGTCCGCTTGACGTCAAGGTTGAACCAGGAGTCCGGTGGGTGGGTGTTGTCCCCGTGGCTCAGTGCCCCCCTGCCCTTCCTCCTCTTGTACTGTGGCCCCTGCGTTGGTTAAGCTTAATCACGGCCTTCATCGCTCTATAGCCGGGTTAGTGTCACAAGTTGATCAAGTCCTTACTCTGCAGGTCACGTCTAGGGGCGAGCAGTTATCTCTCTCGTGTTTTGCTCCAGTATTGGTGGGTTCGTCTCCCCTCTGGCATTATCCGCAGCCATACTGGCACGGGTCCCCGTCTCTTATGTTTACTACCATATCTTGCCTTTATTCTTCATACTTCCACTTGGCCTACTTTCTCTTTTCCATTCTCTCACCGTCCCAGCCCGTCCTCTTAAGGTTACCCAACGTCAAGAAACTGTCGTACTAAAAGTGCCCATATCCTAACCTACCAGAGGACTCAAAATAGAAAACGGGACATTATGGCAATTTCGTGAGCCGCTTCTATTTTCTAGTACGACAATTTTCAGGCCTTAGGTACGGTACACGTCAAAATACGACGTTCTATTAGCAGGATGGGTTCCACCATTACTGACACTTCTGGTATTCGAATCCTTTCAAGTCACTCTTTTCACTTTTTATCCAAAACTGGACTTTCTACAATATACAAAAAATACAACAACAGTTGTTGGAGTCTTGATAAAGTGTGTGGGCGTGCAGGGGTTGGGGGCATATTATGACCCTCGACCTTCCCTACATGTGACGCTGGTGGCGTCCCTGTGGTGTGCCCTGTCACCCTCACTATCTTCTATTACATGTGTCTACCTTTCACCACCTCACCAGTTAGTGTGGCTCGCCCTTCATGTCAGATAGGTCGCCAGTGGACCCATTTAAAGTGTCATAGTCAACAGACACTGGTGTTAAATGTGCGTTGTTTTCCCTTGTGTGTACCAGGATGTGCGTGCGTGTGTGTGTGTGCGCGTGTGTGTGTAGATAGATATACAACAATTCTTAACAGTAATCTGATAAATCGTTGACAATAAGACTATAATTAAATATCACTCTTGCAGTCGGCCAACACTGTCGGCCCGCCGTAGCCTCGTGACGAACCCTCCTCCCAGCCTCATGCGATTTTGTGAAGTAAATCCGAGTTTTTGGTTGTTATATTTATCACTCAGAACTCGTGATGGCTCAACCGCCCCATTTCCTGCCACCTCCTGGCACAGCCACACCCGGACGGAGACCACTCACGACACTACACACACACAAGTCACATTATCATCACATATCAACGAGAGAAATTTTCCAATGATTTTTCTCAGTGATGACATTACTTTTATTGTTTTTATTGCGTACACGGAGCTTATATTATAACTCCAGGATGTATGTTTACTGTTACATGCACACACGCAGTATTTTTTTCTACCACAGACGTGGCCAGACATTTACAATGCTAACCAACATATACACATTTTCTTCTGTCCTCCATGGGACAGGATTTAAGATCGGTTTGATCAAAGATTAAAGCATTAGGTGAAAGGAAACGTGCCCAACCATTTCTGTCCCCGCCCGGGAGTCCTTTTTTGCAAGTCGAGAACGAACCCAACTTACTACAGAGACGGTATTGAGCATCAGTCCGCTACGGGCTCGCCATAGCCCGTGCTGCTCGGAACGTGTTGTTCCGGGAAGCTGGACCTGAAACAACAACAACGCTATTGGGCAAGGAGGGGGGGGGGGTTGTGGTGATGGGGGGGGGGGGCTGCACCTGCAGCAGTAGGGGGGGGGCGGGTGTTCATTCACAGGATGAGTGACGCTGGCCAACAAACTACCCCTCCCTTCCCCCCCCCCCCAGGAGCAAAATTAACAAAATTAACTGGTAGTGCAAATTGCCGCCGCTGACGCAGTATGGCGCCTTGGGGCCAGATTCACGAAGCTGTTACGCAAACACTTACGAACCTTCTGTACATCTTTTCTCAATCTTTGTAGGCTTCGTTTACAATTATTAAACAGTTAATGAGCTCCGAAGCACCAGGAGGCTGTTTATAACAATAACAACAGTTGATTGGCAAGTTTTCATGCTTGTAAACTGCTTAATAAATGTAACCAAAGCCGTCACAGATTGAGGAAAGACGTACAGGTTCATAAGTACTTGCGCAACTGCTTCGTGAATCGTCGCTCGGGTGTCCGCCTGGACCTTAGGGGTGCGTATCTATAACCGTTCACGGTGTGTGATTGATTGACTGATAAAGATTAAGCCACCCAAGAGGTGGCACGGGCATGAATAGCCCGTGACGGTGTGTGAAGGGAAGTGAGGTTTATATGGCCTCATATAACAACACCTCAGCCCGGCCTCCTAAAAATAACAGTGCCCACAGTAACTGTTCGAGGGAAGTGTTAATATAGTGATGGACCAGAAAGTTGATGTTTTGTATTATTGAATTTGGCCAAAATTGGTCCTAACCTAACCTTTTCTAGCATGCCTAAGCCTAGTACACGCTATCCTAGGCCTAATTTATAATATATGTGATAAAGCCTATGAATGTTTAAGTTAGGCTTTAACTTTATTTTTTCAAGACTATATAAAATTTATAAGTACAAAACTTAACTTGTTGGTGGAACTTGAGAGATGTTGGTACTCTCGACCAAATAGTTACTATAAGTACTATACCATAAGTATAGTACTTATATATATAATACTTATATATATAGTACTTATATATATAGTACTTATATATATAGTACTTATATATATAAGTACTGTACCAGTGTTGGAGGACGGGTGGTATATTGCTGTACATTTACAAGTCTTCTGCTGCTTTTTATAACTCACTTTCCCTAACGTTCAAATTCTTTGTCTTGTCTGCTCTTGAAGGTGTGGATGGAGGTGGTGTTATCACACTTCCTCCCCTGCACTGTACTCATCTAGTTGTGCTTGCGGGGGTTGAGCTCTGGCTCTTTGGTCCCGCCTCTCAACCGTCAATCAACAGGTGTACAGATTCCTGAGCCTACTGGGCTCTATCATATCTACATTTGAAACTGTGTATGGAGTCAGCCTCCACCACATCACTGCCTAGTGCATTCCAACTGTTAACTACCCTGACACTGAAAAAGTTTTTTCTAACGTCCCTGTGGCTCATGTGGGTACTCAGTTTCCACCTGTGTCCCCTTGTTCGCGTACCGCCAGTCTTAAACAGTTTATCTTTATCTACCCTGTCAATTCCTTTGAGAATTTTGTAGGTAGTGATCATGTCTTCCCGCGCTCTTCTGTCTTCCAGCGATTAGCCTAGTGGCATATCTCAGAACTTTTTCCAGCTTCGTCTTGTGCTTAACAAGGTACGGGCTCCATGCTGGGGCCGCATACTCCAGGATTGGTCTTACATAAGTGGTATACAAGGTTCTGAATGATTCCTTACACAGGTTCCTAAAGGCTGTTCTGATGCTAGCCGGCCTCGCATACGCCGCCGATGTTATTCTTACTATGTGGGCTTCAGGAGACAGGTTTGGTGTGATATCAACTCCTAGATCCTTCTCTCTGTTCGTTTCATGAAGTACTTCATCTCCTATGCTGTATCCTGTGTCTGGCCTCCTGTTTCCACTGCCTAGTTTCATTACCTTACATTTACTC